GGGGGAACCAGACACTGGAAGCAGGGCTGGGCTGGGGAGATCGGGGTGGGGGGTGGAGTGGAACTGTCCCGGGCACATGCAGATCCTGCAGACCCTGGCAGACGAGTGAGTCTGGCCGGGGATTCCATTTTGCCCCCCCCTACTCCCACATACCCTACCTCGAGTAGCTGCAAACTGCCTGGCAGGTAAACACACTCAGGCAGTGTGAGCACGTCTACCAGCCAGGCAGTTCGCAGCTAAGGACTGATACACCTAATTGTAATAAAACTAACCTAATTAGAAAATACCAGACATTTTATATATCTGGTAATTTCTCAATTTGTTTCCCGGACAAAACCCTCAATACTGGGCTGTTCGGTACAAAACCGGACACCTGGCAACCCTACCCTTCCTTGAACCCTCCCTCCTAGCCAGAAAGCCTACCCCCAATCTGCTCCTGCTCCCGCCTCCTGGAGTGCCCATGTGGCGCCGGGTCCCCCAAGCCCTGGGCCAGGCTGGGCGGAAGATACAGCTGAAGAAACACTGAAAATGTATTCATTTTTCATTCTTTTTTTTATATGCACTTATATTTTTGGGCTGCAAAAAACAGTACTGAAAAAAAATGGGTTCCAACTAAAGTAAAAAGTTTGGGAAACCCTGATCTAGCCAACTTTCTATCCATCTTACAGTCCATTTTTCCAATCCATATTCCCTTAACTTGCTGGCAAGAATATTGTGGGTGACTGTATCAAAAGCTTTGCTAACGCTGGCACTGGGGGCTTTGGGAGGACCAGAAACAACTTATTTGAATATTCATCATTTGCTTAATGAATGTGCAAATATGCAAATGAATGTTACCGGTCCTCCAAAAGCTCATGAATGGATTTACTGGTCCCCATGTCAAAAAGTTTGGGAACCCCTGTTCTATTCCATTATCCAAGTCATTAATGGAAATATTGAGTAGTATTAGAACCAATCATGACCCTACTAAATATACCTTTACCAGTTTGGCAGTGAACCATTGATAACTCCTCTGAGTACAGTCTTTCAACTAAGTGTGCACCTTTTAGTAATTCCATATAGATCGAATTTCCCTACTTTGCTTAGGAGAATGTCATATGGACTGTATCAAAACCTTTACTAAAATCAAGATACATCACGTCTATTTATTCCTCCCTATCTCCTGTGCCAGTAATCCTGTCAAAGAAGGAAATTAGGTTAGTTTGGCATCATTTGTTTAACAAATCCATGCTGGCTATTTCTTATAACTGTTTGCCTCTAGGTGCTTATAAAATTATTAATAATTTGGTCCAGTATCTTTCTAGTATCGAAGGTAGTCTATCATTCGCTGGTCAGTTAAGTCAGAGAAACTATATATGACCACGGGATATTAGAAGTGTAGGACTGGAAGGGACTTCAAAACATTTTCTAGTCCACTCCACTGCATTCAAGGCATCATTAAATAGTAACTAGACCTTTCCTAACAGGTGTGTTTAGGTGTTTTGGCCAGAGGACAAAATAATTCTAATAAACAGCCTCAAGTCCAAGCCATTGGGAAACATACCTTATAATAACAGCAACAATTTGCAAGTACTATATCTCTGCTAGCAAGTAAGATCAGCTAGCTAATTAAAATACTTCTTACTTGAATTACCTGACAACACTTGGGAGTGTTTCTTGGCACAATAACACTTTCTGATGTCTACCATAGGTACTCTGCCGGTTTTGTTGAAATCAAGTTTCATGTAAGCCTAAACAAAGATAAAAAGGAAATGTGTTACAGAAGTCGGAAGAAATTATGATATAAATGCATTTAATTAAATCAGATATTTTATGTCCAATGTAATGTATGTAAAGTGAAATACTTACATATTTTATATGAGCAATCTCAGTCTGCAATGTAGTCAAAAACCTGACTCAAAACATTGTGAGATTCCATTGTTACTATCCCTCAATTACTTCTACATAAAATGTAAACATTTTTCCCCACTAATACTGCAAATTCAATCTAGGATATGAAATCAAGCAGTGTTCTTTATGCCTTTTGCTCAACAACAGGAAAAGATTCTGAAATCAGTTCCTAGTTGACAGCCATTTACATGGGGCAGAAAAAGAACTCAATTAAATCTCCCATAATTGGATTGCATTGACACTGATAGCAGTAATAATTCAATCTTTATTTCAATGGCATCACACAGAGTGTGGGATTCAGAGTAAGACTGGGAAAACCAGGTCCTCTAGGAATAAAGTTACCAAAAAGCAGGGCATTATTTAACAACTTAGAGTCAGTAAAATATTGGATGGATTCTAATAAGGGTCCTAGAAAATGAAAGGTTTCAATTGCATTAGCAATCCCTTTATCTATCCAGTTTTCACACATGCAACACCTTACAAAATGGTAAGTGATATCTTGCACTCACATAGTGCTTTTCCTCTGTAGATTTCAAATGATTTATGTCTCTTTGACAGATGGGGAAGCTTTGACAGAAGGCACATAGCTGACATGGCTTGCCTAAACACAATTATGGGAGAACCAAAAATGGAAGGCAGTTCTTGAGTCCCAATTCAGCGATCTATCCATTAAACCTCATTGTAAGAATGAGTAAGTATAGGGAGCATGCTAAAAACTGATGAATTTTTGGTGCCAGTTGCAGAAATCAAAACTGGGTAATTCCACAAAAGCAAAGCAGATGCAGCCTTTTAATCTACATGTAGACTAGATTAATGTACCGGCATATCATTTTAGATGCCTAAATTTCAGATACACAACTTAACAAAAAATCAAAACCAAAATATATTATTGACCAAAAATAGGCATTCAACAACTTCAGATGTTTCCCATATATGTTGTTATATCCTTATGTGGAATAACTAAAATAAACTTACTTTTCTAACAAATGTTTTTCGATACTCATTCATTTCTCCAATAAAGGCACGAGTGAACTCCCCATAATCAACTTTATCATTTCCGTTATCATCAAGAATAAGCCACAAAGACTCAAAATCCTGCAATTTAAAAAAGAGTGACTTTCCAATGTTACCTCCTACAAGATCTCTCTCAGCATAAGCTAGTCAGATTCGTTTATAACAGAATGTATTATAAATTATTGAGAGATTCACATTATTACGGAACGACTGCAACTTAAATTTGCCAAAACATAATTACAGAAGACAGATTGTCTGTTGGCAGGTAAAGCAAAAACTAAGGGTTTGATTTCATCCTGTAGGAATATACTGGGGCTGAGCCCTCTGAAATTCCCAAAATTTACTGAGCATCCAATAAAGGCTTAAACTCTGCTGCCGCCATTTAGGAGGCAAAAAAATCCCACTTCTTCGATAGCAGAGATGAGGCAAAATCATGACCCACCAGACTTTTTTGGGACTAAATAATCATTTGCTAAACCAAGACTGTCTTTACTCTGTCTCAGAACCCAGCACCTCCTTTAGAAAGAAATTATCTTATTTTAGAGTTCATTTAAATCCATCTTCCCTTGATGTCACCAAAAACAAGCCAAGAGTAGCAACCGAAGCAATATTCTTTCCAAGAATTCAGGTCAAGAACACAAGCAGCAGTTACGGGAGCACCACAATGACTGACCCCTCCTGTTCCTAGATGGTAAAAAAGAGTTGAATTCCTGGGATCCTTACTAATAGATTATCAACATCTATTTTGACAATGGGAATCTACTACCCAGTCTAATACATGGAATAGTCTAACCTGAAATAAAGGCATTATTAATTAAGGATATGAACATAGTAAACTACCATCAGTAACCTTTTTCAAAGGAAGTTTCTCCTACTCTACCTATCAGCTGGAAGTATAGTAGCTCTCACTCAATTAGGCCCCAGCACTTTAAAAAAAATATTAATTAAAGAGAACCTGAAAAAAAAAGGGGTGCCTTTTTCTGCTTCTTTATGATATTTAAAGAAGGCATGACTGTTACTTTTTAAAGGGGGTTTCATGTGGGATTAAAAGCAGAAGTACCAAAAAGCACAGAAAAAGGAGCAAATATAGTCATTCAAACTGCATAATTAAATGAAGACAAGTAGCAACTCCATAAAGTTTTAGTAGACAAATCACTTCGGTATCACACTCCTGATTGCAATTGCATCAAGACTTACCTTTTCAGGTACTTCTAAATGAAATAATGTTAGAGCTTGTTTAAAGACTGCTTTAGAAAAGGCTCCATCTCCCTTATGATCCAGTTCTCGGAAATATTTTCCTAATCTTGTTACAACACGAACTCCCCTTTTACTTAGCTTCTCTTTAAGTATACCTAAGGATCAGATGAAATGTTTACATGAAGATGTTTTGAAGATGCTTTCCCAAAAACTCCCACTGAGCACACTGCTAGCTAAACATCATATCCATGCATCCAACTTCTCTTGTTTTTGAAGTGTACGGGCTTTTAACACAGACCAGCAGTTCTGACTGAGAATTTTCTCTCAGTTCTGACTGAGAGATGTGAATAGCAGTGCATGCTGCCTAGTAAATCACTCATGTGGACCCTGTGCACGTGAACTTAAAAATTCCTACTTTGGATTAATGTAATCCTGTTTGAATATAATCATATTCATGTGAAACAGCAAAATCTTCTCTCTGAAAGCCTGTACACTACAAATGAAAGATGAATTACATCTTCCGGGAAACATTAATAAATGTGCCTTGACGTCTTTATTAGGAAGCAAAATATTTAATATGCAGACCGTGAAAATCTAGAACGCATCCAATATATTAAAAATGACCAAAAGCCATTTTCTCAAATACCGTATCAGTGACAAATGGGCAAAATATATTAAAATTCATTGTCACATGAATGGGGTTCTTAACATCTCTTTTATAAGTGATGTCATTACCGAAAGCAACATTTTACACATTACATTTATAACTAATCTACACATCAGTGTCTACTGGCTTTTTCTTTTGTCAAAAAAAGAAGAAAGAAAATTCTCTAGAAACATACATATATTAAAGCACAAAGCAAGAGACATATGTGTTTGCATTCTTTTTCTCTGATGTTTGATCCCTGTAGTAGTAATAATTATTGTATTCACTTAAATACCTTGCTTTTACTTATTTTTAAAAGAAATAATATTAAAAACTATGCTTTTTAGATTAATAGAAAAGACACTAAAACGTAACATTAAATGTAAATTAAAATTAATAAAAAGTGTACAAACCTTGAACAATCCTGAAAACCCTGCTCTCATCAATCTCTTGCTGGGTAATATCTTGCTTGATTCCCACAGAAGTAGTTCTGAAATTAACCAGTCGATAATTATAAAGTTACCTACATTGCCAAAATGAAAAGACTGCTAACAAAAATATTTCAAACAGAAAAAAGCCTTCGATTCTTATATCACTCATCAGCATATTAAGTGCCTTAATTTTAATAACACAAAATGTTCTTGTACAATAGTAGTAGGAATGAGATCTTTCTTACCCAATAATGTTCTGTTAACAGTTTCTCTCATACATCACTGATAAATAACACTTCTCCCCTATGGAATTCAGAAGCAATAATGTTGCTGGAATTTCCAGTACTAAGCCCCTCCCTTAGGCCACCAGATGAGTTTTCCCAAAGCTGTAGAAATACTCTAGCAACCAATTATTAGAATTAAGATGACAACCTGACATCATATATAAATAACCTTAAGGTAACTAGGTCTCCATTTAGAGGAAATTTTCAATTTCTTACAACACACAGTATTAGAGTCATCTACCAGATTGCCAGGGTGAGTTGGTTGATAAAAGAAACTGCTAACAAAGAAAAATATCAGGTAAGAAACTGCCTAACAGCTTTTCTCTCCATCACCACTAATGGGAAGCAGTGAGTAATGAATCACAAAAATAGAGAGACCCAGGATAAGCAGAATTTTAAGAGCCAAACAATTAGCAGAAATAGAAGACCCTCCATACAGTGCAAGAGTTTTGTCATTTAAGGAATCCCTTGAGAATGAGCCAAACAACATCTTCCTACCAACTGAAGCCTCTGCAAAATCTACTTTGCTAATCTTCTTCTGAGAAGTCTCATATATTTTTCCTTGTGATGCCACAATGGACATTGTGGAGAGAGTTCTGACTCCTTTGTAATTTTCTGAGATGTCCTCTGGTGTAGGATTTTACCATCTTACTTGTTGCAACTTTGAGGCCTAATCGCCCATCATGAGCAAAATGAGATGAATGAAGTAACAACTGGGCTAATTGGAGCTGCCCTGTATCTGAAAAAGTTACATCTCCCTTGGTTATCAGCAGTTAGTAAGATAGGGTGATTAAAAACTTTTTTCCCCTTCTGTGCTTTATTTCTACTGCTAAATAAATTATATTTTAATTTAAGACATCTGTGTGTCACTATATACATTTGGCTGCAGACTTCTGAAAGGAAGAACCCCAGGTGCTCATACTCGGTATACAGAGTACTGTCACCCAAACCAAACTAAAAGCAGAAGAATTGCAAAATTCCACCCTGGAGGATAAAGGTGCTATAGAATAAGTTCACAGAGGCAACCAAGGAAAAAAGAAGTGCAGTTAGACCTGTAACTCTAATGCTGATTTATGCTTCAACATTAACAGTGGTGCTAAGCTCTGCAACAAAATGATGGAAGAATCATTTCACTGTAATTGTGGAAAGAAGAGTTTACTCTGAACAGAAAAGTTTCTGGAGCTAAAAGAACAACCTTTTCCTACAACAATAGTATTATTTTTCTTGAATGGATAGAGGCCTTCAGAACTCCCCGTCTTTTAGAGCTAATGGAAACTAGAAAGCTGTGCCAAAGACTTGTCTAATCTGTCATTCTGACTAATCTTGACACTTGATGACACTCAAATGGGGAGTCTGATATGCTCACTTAGAAAAAATGATGCTAGAACTATTACTCACTTTTCTATGGTTGCAACTTTTGCAAAAATTCATGTAAAATTATGGCCAGAACCACATGAGCTGTTCTCTTCATTGGGCTCAAAAGGCTCTTGATTCTGAACCATTGGTAGATGTGAATCTTCTTCAATGGCTATTTGGTTAATAATGAATGTATTTCTCTGGGTTGGCATATTGTCTGTGAATATCTATAGGACAGGGGTGGGTAAGAGGCAATTAGCAGGCCAGATCCGGCTCGTAGCTGCAGCTGCTTTAAACAGCTGGCTGTTAATTGCTATGCAGGCTGGGCAGGAAGGAGAAAGCTTCGCATGCTGTCCCCACCCTCTAGCCAAATCCCCCAGCTCCCATTGGCAAGTTTCCAGGCAATAGGAGCTGAGAAATTTTGCTGAAGGCCGAGGCAACTGCTTTAAACAGCTGGCTGTTAATTGCTATGCAGGCTGGGCAGGAAGGAGAAAGCTTCGCATGCTGTCCCCACCCTCTAGCCAAATCCCCCAGCTCCCATTGGCAAGTTTCCAGGCAATAGGAGCTGAGAAATTTTGCTGAAGGCCGAGGCAACGAATGAAGCCTCCTCACTTCCTCACCCTCCATCCCTCACTGTGCTGGAGAAGAGCCAAGTGGAGCAGCTGCCCAGCACACAGGCTGGGCGGCTCAGGTTCCTGCAGAACTGGTGATTGGGAGCTGCCTTGGTAAGCATCTCCCAGCCAGAGATGCTCTGGCACACACCCCTCCCCTCAACTACCTGCTCCAGGCCACCACCCAAACCCTCTGTATCCCCTTCTCCCCAAATCCTCCAGGTCTCAACTCCCAGACTCTGTACCACCTCCTACACTTCTCCCCCAGGCCAGAATCCTTTCTGGCAAACATACCCCCCTTCCCCCGACCCTGCACCTCATTCCCCTGCCTCATGTCACCACCCAAATGCTCTGCACCCCTTCCCACCAGGTCACAACTCGCTCCCAGAACCTGAACCCCCTCTTGCATCCCTCCTCCTGGCCAGAATCCTATCCTGCACCCATCACCCCTCCTGGACCCTTCACTCTAAGCCCCTGCACCCAGATCATAACCCCCTCCATCACCCAAATTCCCTCTCAAACCCCTCACTCTCTCCTGCACCTCAGTCCTCTATCCCAAGTTATCTTCTACACCCAACCTGCTGTCGCAGACCCCATACTCCCTCCACAGAAGTGCAGCTCTTGACCACTTACCAAAATCAGTGACCCCCATTATAAATTATTGCCCACCCCTGTATAGATGTATAACTTGCCACACAAGTCTTTACTGTTACTGCTAACAGCTATTTATTAGGACTCAGGGTGCAGAGGCTGAATCTAAAGGAAGAGACTTGTACAGGAATTATAAGCTCTCATACAAAAATGAACATTTGGTTTTTAATCATATTGACAATTTTGTTGGTTGGGAAAAAATATGAAGGATTTAGTCACTCTGTGCAGTAATATTTCTTTAAGATGTGCCCCCCTCTGGGTGCTCACACTGGTGATTGGAGATTTTTGCTTAGCAGTGCCTACCCACGCCATGCATGCACAGTAGCCATCTTGCGCTGTTTTAATTCATTGGCTGTGTGTGCGGTGCGAGTGTCCCTCCATTCCTTTTTTACCAGAAACTGTTCAGTGGACTCCAAAGTAGAGGGGAGGGAGGGAGGGTAGTGGAGCACCCACAGAGAGACATATCTTGAAGGACCATTGTTATTACACAGGGTAAGTAACTTCTTCTCCTTCAAGTGGTGTCCCTCTAGGTGCTCCACTCAGGTGATAGCTGGCAGTAACCACCTCTTGCGGGTGTTGGACTCAGTTGTGAGAAGAGGCAAGGACTGCTTTGGCTAAAGTGGTGGTAGGTATGGGTCCCTGCTGTAAAGCATAGTGTTGTGCAAAGGTGTGATGGGAAGACCATATCACTGCTCTGCATATATCCAAGGGATATATAATTCAGGAAAGCAGCTGACATGGCCACAGCACAGGTGGAGTATGCTGTGATAGTCTGCAGTGGTTCCCTCCTACTAAGATAGTAGGAAAGGTATATGCAATTAGCAATCAATTTGGAGATACACTGCACAGAAACTGCTGTTCCCTTGTGGGGACCAGACATAAAATGAAAAGTCTGATTTCCTTGGTCCTATCTATGTAGAATGAAAGGCCTTGCCTAGCATTCAGAGTATGTAGCATCAGCTCCCTCGGGGAGGTTTTGGAAAATAGGTGGGAAGGTAGATGGGCTCATTGAGGTGAAAGTCCAATATAACTTTATGAAGGAAGTTGAGATGAGGTCTGAGGATGATTGGTAAAAATAGTATATGGAGGATGAGCCATCAGGGCTGCAATTTCTCTTACACTTCTTGCAGAAGTAACTGACACTATGAAGGCCAATTTCATAGCTTGATGTTGTGGGGAGGCAGTAGCTACTGGCTCAAAGTAGCTAGTCTTGTGAGTGTGCCAAGCACAGGGTTTAAGTCACAAGGTGGCACTGGCAGGTGTAAATTTGGACAAGTCTTTTGCAAACCGGCTAAGGAGCACTTTGTGATAGGATGTGCGACGAGCGAGAGGTCATCCACTGGTTTGTGGAAGGCTGTGATAGTGGACAGATGGACACAAACGGAGCTAATAGAAAGGCCAGCATCACTGAGGTCCATCAGGTATTCCGGCACGACAGGTATCGGAACAGTGTTTGGATGCAATTGACGACTGCGGCACCACTCTTGAAATCGTTTCCATTTGTTTTGGTAGGTATACCTCATGGAGAAGCGCTGACTATTTAGGAGGATCTGCTTCAAACTGTTTGAACAGGTAAGTTCTTCATTTTGGAACTATGAAGAAGCCATGCTGTGAGTTTGAGGGCCCTGAGATTGAGGTGGAGAGTTTTGCCTTGATGCTGGGAATCGATAAATGGTGCAGGTAGGAAAACCGCAGTTGTCTTGGCCAATAGGGCACTATAAGAATCACTGTGGCTTGATCCGTGCAAATCTTGTTGATCATCCTGGAGAGTAATGGAGTCAGTGGGAAGGCATATAGAAGGGGAGAGGTCCAGGGTATGATGAAGGCATTTCCCTCTGATCTTTTGTCTCGACCCTCTTGGGAGCAGAAGCGGTGGCATTTGCATAATCTTGTGATGGATAAAGAAAGAAGCTGTGTAGCAAAAAGAATGTATTCATGAAATACAAAATGTCTTGCCTGAATTATCAATAGTAAACTCTTGTCCTCCATTTTAGGAAAACCTTGATATAATTAGAAGGAAAAACTAGATGTAAATATCATATAGATCAGTGTTTCCCAATTTTATTTGGCCGCGGAACCCTTAATAACAGTCTAATATATGGAGCTGAAGAAGTAGACCACAAATAAGTAAGGATTATAATAAACAAATGCTAAACA